CTCTCATTAGAAAAGCAACAATTTCCAACTGCATGGAAACTTGGCTATATTCTTCCGTTGTATAAATCAGGTGATATTCATCTGTCAACAAATTACAGACCTATTACTCTACTTTCTGCGGTTTCGAAAGTTTTTGAGCGACTCATCTTTAATCGTATTTTTCAATTTTTACTCACTAATCAACTTATAAATATAAATCAATCAGGTTTTTTGCCCAAACGGATGAAAAGCCTTTACTTATTTTAATGTGAAAGAACAGGACAGAAGCTGAATGAACACTTCTTTCATTTGTGTATTTTTTGTGTACTTCTTTTATGTTGTCTTACCCTACACCGAAAGGTAATGGGTCTAACTAACAGGCAAGTCAAGTAATGAATTAAAGCACGACTTTAGAAGTTCTGTTCGGCAAAAAACGGGTTTCCTTAAGACCGGGAATCGGCTTAAAGGCTTTTTATCATTTTGTAATGACTGTTTGTACTTATTCTGGTATTTTTGGGCACGCTGAGCAATTCTGTTGACTTCGAATTCTACATTTCTCTTTCCTTCCGGTTGAAGACTCTCAACACTTTTGACTATAAATGTTTTGGGAAAATTATGGCAAAATGAATTGAAGGAATGCTTAAAACAGAAGAATGATGGCGATTCTGAAAGCTAACGACCGGTATTGCAAAATTAAGAACAAAAAAGTCACTTCATTCTTGACGAAAAAAGCTTGATTTAACAATCAAACGAGCAGGCATTTGATCCTTTCTAATATTTGATGCAGGTAATAACTTGAGCACGAAAATGTCAGAGTCGTCGATAACTACTGTATGACTGAACCAAGCCTATAATCCGATTAACCCCCAGTCTGACAGCGTAATTCACTTCAGTCTATGTAAGATTGATCCATACCTCGAGCACCTGTTCGCAAATAACATCATAATCTGAAGGGGTCGGGGCGGTTGCGAAAATCTAAAAAACGAATATGTATCAAAAAATGGATATATGAGTCCTAATTTTTAACCGAAAACTGTCAAAAAAGCCGGTGTTTTTAGACTATTTTTCGAGCTATTTTGAATTGTTGATGCTACTCTACAGGTAGTAGTAGATTTATATAGCTAATAGGCGTCTCGGGCGAGACCAGAAAATGTATCTTGACGGGCGACATTTTCAGATTCCTCCCCTTCCACCGCTATGAAAATTTTTCGCTTCGTCTTGTGGTGGGGCCGAGACAGCTTTATTATCATAATCGTCTCTTCTTGATCCCGCTATGGTAGATTTGTAAAAAAACTTCACCAAAATGGAAATACCGAGTGGTATCTTCTGGTAGAACGTATTTTCGCTTAATTCCTTTGAGACTTACACTAAGGAAGGCGAAGGCTCTTCGATTATTTAATTTTTATTACAAAAGCTGAGCAAAAATACATTTTTTTAGAGAGTACTGGGTCGCACGGGACAAAAGGAAATGTCCTATCGTTACTCCCTCAAATCATAGCGGCCCGTCCCGTTGAACTACTGATAACCATCTTGACATAAAAACCAAAGCGATAGAAATCTGCAGCTAACTGTAGAGCAGCCAAGACTCCTTTACACATTTTTTGATACTCTTTCGAATGGTTTTACTAAAAAAACCAGCGCAAGCTGGCTAGCTTATAAATAAAAAAACGAAGACATGTCATTTTTGCGGGGTTCTCGATATGCTCATTTTGAAGTGCATATAAAATGGTCACTTTTTGTGCGCATCATGAAAACTTGTTCATAACCCAGATGCTTCAAATAGCTTTTAGAACATGTAGTATAAAGTATTTGTAAAAAAATGTCATGTTTGAATTTTTTCCCAGGTTTAATGCTCAGCGTCTTGTAATATGCTGTAAAAAATCAACTCTCCAGGCGTATAGCGGTTTCGAAAACTACAAAAACGTGGTGGCTTCATTTCTCGAAGAGCCTCTTTACATTGCGTGACTCATACTACTGTATCGACTATATCAGTAATTTAAAATCGAACGAAAATAAAGTTGTCTTAGTAGTTTCCTCTCAAGGATTTTCTCATGCTTCTGTAAACTTCTGCGACTAAGTGAAGAACTCTCAAAAATAGATTCAGTCTACATTCTTTGGGCTTCACTTGCAAGAAATGCTCAATTCTTCGAAATATTGACAAAATTATACGGCCTTTATACTGGCCTAGAACTGCTGCGTAACGACCTACTGCAGCTGCCGTACTTAGAAAAGAAACGCCGGGAGGACGATTTTATTATCACTTATATGCCTCGTTAGTATTCGACGATGATTCCAACATAGCTAGATGAATTGAAAGAAAGTTATTCGCAAGACACAGACAGAAAGGATCTTTATAAAACCAGATTTCCCCAAAAACCTTCTGGATTTTGGAAACCTCAAAGCTCTTTGAGGGTTCTCTCAGTCGATAACTTTAGATGCTGGCGAAATTTCTACCACATTTTTGTGAGAAGACGTAGGCAAAATAGAAAGAGAATAAGAACTGCATGTAAATGTTGCGAGTTTAAGTTCTCTTCTTATTTAGAACAAGCTTAGCATAAAGTTGTCATAGTAATCTCACCAGCGACTCAGGCTCCCGAGTGATATGGCTTTGAAAACGTTTCGAGATTTCGAAAATACAGGAGGTTTTCTAGAAAACCCGGTTCTCCATAGATCCTTTCGTTCGGTCTGAGGTCAGATTTTTTTCATGAATCTCTATAGATCTAATGAGACCTTTCATTTGAGTCCATAACGAAGGTTCTACGACATGTCCTAAGCGATCTGGAGGCTTTGCAAAATAGCTGTTCTTGCAGGAAAAGTTCGTTTCTGCTAACAGAGTATTTTTCCTATCGCTTTTCCCAACAGAGCCAGCGACCTCAGATTTTTGCCATTGGAAGCATCTAAAACTGAGTTCGAAAATGTGTCTCTTCTCACTGTGGAAGAAACTTTTGTGTAACGGTACACTGCGTGTGAAATCGTTGACCTACAGGTGAAACACTACCACTTGTATGACGCTCTTAAAATCAGTTCAGGCGAGACTGTTTCTTGAGTGGAAACTGTCTATCGTGGGCAGTTAATGAAAACTGAAGAATTCGGCTACTAAAGAAACCAAAAAATCCAAAAACCTAGACACCTAGAGACGTGTGAAACATTTTCCCGTGGGAAAATGCGAGAAAGAGACCTAGAATTCATGTGCAAGGTAAAAGTGTAATTTTGTTTTCATGAAAAGGGAAATTCTCCATGACATCGTTTGTTTTCAGTGATATATAATTTTGGCAGAAACCCAGTGCTTTCTCACAGTGTTCCGTTGCTCTTGCTCAGTCTTCCATTTTTATATAAATTGAGCCAAGTTCATTAAGTATATATGCTCGATCTTTTAGATTTTCAGCTGCTATCGTGTTATTTTGAAGTGCTAGTAGGTAAAACTTCTCAGTTTTTTGATAATTATTCATCTCACACATCAGTTTTGCCAAGCTTATAAGTAGATACGGCGCTTTTATACAGTCTTTTATGTGTTCTATCAAGAACCTTAATTCACGATCTTCTTCATCAGTAAGTTCCAGTTGTACAAGCGCCCACTGAATCCTGACTCACGGAGAAAATACGAAAAACAGTTCTCATTGTAAAAAGGATCTCGCGCCGGACGGTGAGATGAAAATGATGGCGGAGGAAGAAAAGGATGGTGAAGTAAACAGTCCAGAAAATGAAGCATTATTTTACTTCGAAGAAGCATTAAAATTTGAAATGAAGTCAAGCACTCCAAATCAAAGCAAAATTGGTACTCTTTATAAGAATATTGGCTTGATCTACAGGAAACAAAAGATTACCAGACGTTTGGGCGCAACGACATTTGGGCGCATGTAGGACAAAAGCATTTAGTAAGAGTGCATTTGTTGCAGTATGATTCATAACGATAACATATCCTTTAAACAAACTCGGTACGGTGTGAGAGCTTTTTCCAAACTACTCATATCCAACTGTAATCACGGTTTGTTTAATCATCACCGATACTCACACTCACACTCACCCGCACTCGCATTGGGCCTTAGGACTTCAACTATCGTTGCGCCCAAATGTCGTGTAATACATTGTGCGCCTAAATATCGGTATACCGAAACAACAGCGTCATCTGGAATCATTAGAACTTTTTAAAAAATGTCTCATAGCACAACTTAAAGTTCTGCCATCAGATCATCCGTTTCTGACTCCAGCCTACAATAATTTATCGGTTGCTTACTGCAAAATAGAAGATTTTGAAAAATCAATGGATTGTTGTAGTAAAACACTCCAGCTACAACGGAATCTCGTACCGAATCACAGAGACTTTGACACAACCTACTTCAATTTGGCCTATATACTAAGTAAACAATACAAACTAAAACAATCATCAGAATATATCAAGAAAGCCTATGCAATTTGGAGGATATATTGTGCGTTTTCAAGTTGAACTTTCGGCCTAAGAAGGCTTTTAAAATCAAAGACTGACTTTTGCACTTTTTACCTAGAACTTTTAGCATTTTTCGAAGGAAAGTATATTTTTCTAAAAAAAAATTGAAACGTGAGATGGGATCTGCGTTTTCTGCGATAAAAGTTGAGCTCGATGGGGATATTTTTTCAAGGAGTCATAACGTGACTGGATGAAAACTAGAGTTTATTAGAAAAACCATAAAAGCAAGGCCCAGTTGTACGAGAAAGCGCATCATTTTGCGGAAAAAAGTCGTTTCTATATTTCAACACTTGTTTGTGGGGTAGGTTAGTTTTGCTTAATACATTTTTTATATTATTTTTATATACAGAATCTCTGCTTAAAAGCTAATTTAACAAGTTAGCTTAGATATATATAACTGCTAAACTGTAAAACTGCTACAGTTAAAACTGGTACATTTGACAATCGAAACTGATCATAACTGTCAGAAAAAATTTATACGAGAGATAGAATATCGAAGAAGAAAATCTATGTATTTTTACTCAAGATATTGTGTCATGTTCTTTTATGGGTTTTCTAATAAACTCTAGTTTTCATCAGTCACATTATAACTCCTTGAAAAAATATCCCCATCGAGTTAATGTTGTGTTGATTGTTGCGATGTTATGTTACACTTAGTCGGTGACTTTTTACTTTTAATCGCGACTTATCAATGTTTTATCGAGACTGATCAACGCTATTTTGCGACTTGTTTTCTCTTATTGTGATAGAATGTTGAATAAACTAAAGCTGAGCAAGTAGAATCAGAAAAGTACAAATGAAGATAACGACTGTGTCACAGAATGATATATCTGTTCAGATACCAGCCGTGCTGCTGAATGATTGTTCTTCATTTGATTTATTATTAGAATGTAATAATATTTCAGCTGATTTTTCATTAATTGAAGCACAATAAAAACCTAGTGAAATATCTGGCAATTTAGCTGAACTTCTGCTTAAAAAATATATTTTCAACAGCTAAACGTTTGGACGTTTACTAACGTCTTCATCAGTAGCATAAAAATTATTTAAAAAGGTTATTCAATGAAATAAATAAACTTTGACTAGAGGTAATGTCACAAATATGTAGCTATATGTTGCATATACCCTAGTAGCATTCTCGCTTCATTTCGCACCAAGAATGGAACTACATCTTTCCCGCGATCTTAACAAGAAATTCGAAATTTTTAGAATGATCATTACCATGATCGCACCTAATCTTGATATTTTTCCCGTGTAACGAAAAGTTCTTGATCTGAAATATGAGATAAATAGAGCACTTTAGACGATGTCCAACGCCGACTGCAATGATCTTTTGCCTATAAATACTATATAGTGTCCTACCATCTATGAAAATCTCTTGAATGCAGCAATGTTCCGTTTTTTCGGTTTGAGAACCGAAACGGGTGCATTGCACTACTAAATTTGCGAAAAGTATACACCTTTTCCTTAGCAGTGATAAAGACTAGGTTATTTCAATCAAAGCGTTTGAAAAACAAAAGCCTAAATTTGTTTATGAAGCCAAGGTATCATTGTAAATTAAAAAATTCATCTAATTTTGTGCCGATAAGTGAAATTTTTGAAAATAGTTTTGTTTAGATGATTGTATCGAAAAACTTATCATATTATATTTGGTTCATTAGTATTTTTTTATAGTGTGTAGTTTTATTCAGATCATTTGATAAGACAGCAGAATATACAGCGTCAGTTTACGTGACGACATTACCGCGAAAACTCGTTTATTGGAAAAAAAGAGTAAATGAGCCTGGTTTTGTATTTTGTATATTATGTCGCGGGGTGTGTGGAGGACATTGTGAGAGTGAGTTCGGAAAAGTAGTTTCACACAAAACATATTTTCATGATGCGCAGCTAGATATCTGTGACTGTGTCAGATAATGACTAGTCACCATGTACACTACAGTTACGTTTGAAAACATAATGTACAAATTACAAAACCGGCCTCATTTATTCGTCTTTTCCAGTAAACAAGTGCTCGCGGTAATGTCGTTCTTTGTATTCGCGGTACTGTCGTCCGCGGTAATGTCGCTATATCTCAGTTTATGCTGACAGAGAAGAGACAGGATCTGAAAACAATTAGTATGTAATCTGTTCGAAATTATTTTTGTGACGTTATCACTTATAGAAAAGGTTTAGTATCCTTATATTAATCTTTCATTAGTGAAGAATTTGCATGATAAACAAGAATCTCCAGTCAAACGAGCCGTTGGTTTCTAGTGGTGCAGGCATGATAACAGGATTTCTTTGAGTCTCAGGACTAGTATCTGCTAACTTAGCTTGGCGTTGAAATACTATGGAACATACGGAACCGATCACGCTGAATCTAGTGGCAATGTTTGTTTTTCGGAAAAAACTCAAAAAACCTACCGAGTTCTAGAAAAATTGTAGTTTTCACCTAATATTAAAAAGTTTACAACTCTCTTAAAAAGCATCAGATGGACTTCAGATTCTGAAGACGATCGGGGCAATTCTGAAGTTCAGAATAAGATTAGCCGCTAAACATGATTGTAAAATCGAAAAAATCAAAAACAGTATTTTTCAAAAGTGTTCAAAGTTTTTTTAGATACTCTTTCGAAAAATCCAGAAAAACAATTTAGACACCTAAAACTTCTAACTAATAATGCAATTCACCAGCCAAGCGGACATTTCTATCCTAGCAGTTTTTCGTATCAGACTTTGCGTGATACCGCCACAATCACACGCAGGTATATGACTCATAATTCATCTGAGGGCAACCAACTTTATAGTTAAAAAGACACTTTGCTCAAAATAAAAATTTGTTCTAGTCTATTCGTAAATATGTTTGGCCACGCTTTAGAAAAAATACCATATTAAATGTTGAGGTTTTCCATATACAATATTGTTCTGTTTTAGTATTCGTTCATTCGCTTCTTTTGCTTGATGATAAGACGATCATTTTCCAATTCAAACCGAATACATTTAACGAGATCATTCGCCAGTAACCCTCCGAACACTTCGTTCATCTGCTTCATATTTTTCACTTCAACAGTATTCACTTTAAACAATCGCTTAATATGAAAACTAGATGTGTAACTATTATTTATCATATGTACAAGTATTTGGCTCAATATAGGTATTTGTTCTTATTAGTGTTTTACTTAACATATAGTTCATTAAAATTTGTTCTACCAGCATACTGATACCATTCACTTGTTGCATACGCTTCCAAATAACTGCGCGTAAGTGGAGTGAATACAATACCAGCATATAATATATATCGAGGAAATTGATCGTGCAAATGGCGTGGAACTGTCGTCGGATTTTAATACAGACGGCATGTTACTATCGAATCGCGATTGCTGCGTATCACCAACAGACGTATTTTTTCATCGATAAATTTTGATTTTTCGATGTAACGAAACGATATTCATTTGGTTCGACGAAAGTAGATTGTTCTATCATCACCGAGCGGTGTATCATCGATACTTATGATAACATGGTTTTTTCTCAGAACACGCCGGGTCAATTTCATTTACATGAATACCATGTTTCAAATGCCAGAGTATTCACGAACGCTCTTATTTTCCATTGGTGTCCAATCGAATGCAAGGTGAGAGAATCCGGTATAACAGGAATGTTTCAATATCATCAAGAAAATGGAAAACGATTGGGGTAGGAATAATATAACCAATTTTTGACTTCGTAGAATATCTAGATTATGGGGAAAATCGAGTGCAGAATAACTAGACTATATTACAAAGCCAGAACCTCCCAGACAGTGATTAAGTGAGGTACTATTGCATAGATTATATCCATTACCTGTATAACTCTTCTAGGCGAAAGGACACGAAAGAGTCTTACATAAGCACCGTTGAGCAAACAGGACTCTTCTAGTGCTAATTTGTACGCGAGACGGAAAGTGTTAAGAGTGTTCATATGTCAGAACATTCCGAAGGTTCTCTTTCTCTCTTTCTCATAACCATTTCTTTTGTCGTCATTATTCTTGCGTCATTAGTTTGTTTACGTATACTTTTGTCATGGTGCATTCTATATAGAGTGTTTTTGAGTTTAGACGGAGTAAGTTTTTTAGTGTTTTTGTTTGCCTATGTTATTTTGTGAGTAAAATAAAATAAGATATAACAAAAGCTTAAGCTGACAAACTTCTTCGTACAAAAACTAGTTATGAGTACAATTCAAAAAACAATGAATTGTGGTTCTCTAGGAGGCAGTGCACGATAGAAACGTACTTTTTCAGCATAGCGTGCTCAATGAACTTCGACAAATGTTTCTCAAATTTTCAGAGCAGATAGAGAAATGTGTCCTGAACATCTTTGTCTCTTGACTTTTTTCCAAAGTGCTTTCCCTCGATGCTAGAGCGCTTGCAGAAAAGGTCGTAAAATACGGACCTTCGATTTTCCAT